AGGCAAACACTTTCCAAAGAACTGCAATGCAATTAAAAAAGAACTTTCATACTGAGGCAGGCTGCAACAATATTCTCTGAAATGAGAACATTTATGCCAATAGCAATCTATCTTGCCTGTAACTTTCTATTACTCATATTATGGAAGAATTTTCTGTTTCAGTATGAGGGTTTTTCTCCTTATTAGTCCAGTTTCTGCTGGATCTTACAGTTTTGCTCATTTGCTTGGCAACCGAGTGATGCTGGAAATAAGCAAACACAGAAATGAGAATTCATTGCAAGTGTGAAAGGTGTAGAAACAGGGATTTGACACAAACAAGGAAAGAATTCTCAACATCAATGCAAGTTTAAGGAAGCAAACATGAAAATTCATCATACTAAACTACTGTTGTATGCCTCTGACAGAAAATAGCCTCCTCCCTCATTCAAAAGTTCTGCTGTTATCCTGCTTTGACCCACATCTCAGTAACATCTTTGTCCCACATGCTTTTATCACATTTCTGCCTCAAAAACAACCCTTTTCTGGCAAACATTCTCTCTGATTGATTGAAAAAGTGTGTTGGGCAGACTGCTCCCCTGTCTTTGGGTTGCAGTATGAACTCCATGCACCCTGCCTCTTCCCGTCTTTGTTCCCATTGTTCTAAGATCTCTTTTGAGAATACTGAAATGTGAGATAATTCATTTTGGGGGCTTCTGGCAGAAAGCATTGTCCTCTTGGAAATTTGGAATCTTCTGCTCAGCCTCCTTCTTAAGGATACTTAGAAGAAATAACTCCAATTGCCACAGAGTTAATCCACATTAATCTGCTTCTCCCATGCTGATATCCTTTTAGGGTATCAGTTCTTATTTTCCTCTCCCCATATTCTGCTTTTCAAAGAACAATGGAACAAGAAACCGTATGGACCACAGCTGCAAGACTTGCAGATATGGACCATAGGACTGAAATGATCCCCAAGCAGATGGCTCACTTGGATGCACTGCACCAGCAACCACTGAACTGCAAAAAACCTGGTGATTTAACAGGGGATCATACAAATCCCTAATGATGATAAGCAGCAGCAGCACACAGGAATCAGGGACTCTGGTGTTACTTCTCAACAGATTAAAAGTTTCACGTTGGGAATCTGTACATAGCAAGTCATCAGCTGTTACAGACACAAGTTGCCAAGGCAGCAATGGTTCCCATAATTGTAGAAGGATTTCAGCAGTTAGGTTTAATACATGGTGGGTATTAGATGGTGGTAAAAGATGGTAGGGCAGATGCAGATGCAGATGCAGGCCCAACCTTTGTCAGCACAAATAGACAAGCAGTAGGTTAACAGAAAAGGCTTTATGGAAATGTAGGCTTTGGTGGACTAAGTTCCTGGATGTTCTTCTGGTAGAAGAAAAGATTATCGCTTGAACTTGTGACGAAAAAGTGCTTTACAATGAAAAAGGTCCAAATACATTCACTTAAGAATTATTCAGACAAAATAACTTACCAAGTTGGAGCCACTCTGAGAAGCATGGTGTCCAGTCTCTGAGCAGCACATGGGATATTCAGGCACATGTGATTCATTTCCTGAATTCAACAGAAAAAAAGTGTCTCCAAGAAAACAGTCATCACGCTGAGGATGCAAAGTGCTTCTGGCAAAGGGGTTAGGGTGACAACACCACTCTTCAACTAAAGCACTCCAATTTTCACTTGGTAGAGGAAGAACTCTGAGAAATTTCCTAAGAGGGAAGAAGAAAGAAATAGTTCAATATATTATATTCTTTTCTAAGACATTAAAAGAGAGTTTAGACTCCTTACAAAAAGGGAAAGTAAGTATGGCATTCTAAAAGGAAGTACTTGACTCTCAGTCAAAGGTACTTTCTTCGGATGAATTCTGAGAAAGCAATGGCTGAGTGTTTCCTGCCAAGTTTGTGATGAAGCATTTCCCAAGGGTGAATCTCCAATGATTGTAAGGCAGAACTTGGCATAATCCTCTCTTGAAATGAATCTCATTGCAAAAATAAAACGGTTCTATACAGTCATGAAAAATATAACAATGGGCATTTTGCAATTATATTTATTATTACTTCTTGTAAAGTTCCCTTCCACCAAATGTTGATATAAAAACAACAGAAACAGACTGCTGCTACAGCAAGGGAGAGCATGTCCTTTCAAGCCCCTCAAAGTCAGGTATCAGACTTTGAAAAAGCTACATCTGACAAAATTACCACAGTATATCTTCATTAAAAAACAAAAAAAAGGATAATGCAATCTTAATTTAGATTCAGATTCAACTTTCAGAAGTCACATACAAAAAAACACAAATCCCTTTCTCCTGGGCAGCTGTATAGACCAGGGAGGCTGCTCCAGGCGATACCAGACTTTGCTTTCATTATCAGTGTTGTTTTTAACTTACTTTCTTTGGTCACACACAGTGCCAGAGGATTTTATAAGCCAAGGTTTGGAACCACTGCTTTAAGTTGTAAAATATACTCTTAAAGCTAATATATATATATATGTGGCTATATAAATACCAGCTTGGTCATTATGAGTGAGTGGTCAATACTTTCCTGCTTACAGTTCCTATAGCCATTCTGTGGTGCCGCCACATGTGTTTTTATTAAGAATGTAGAAGTATTGATGGATACTGTCCACATATTTACACTTTCTTTAATCTGTGTTTTCTAGAAAACTATTGCACTGGGAAGAAATTCAGCCCCTTTACTAAAACGATGGGCAATGGCTTTAACAGTGTGCACCTCTCCAACAGTTTTCTAGATGTACTGTTTGTTGCAGAGCTGCGCTTTCTGCTCTCTGCCTACTTTCTGCTTTCCTTTTGTTCCCTTATTTCTTCTACTGTTGCCTGAAACCTTTACACAGTTTCTTGATTCTACTCCGTACTTAAAACTTGCAAATACAACTTTGCTTACAGTGCTACTTCGCAAATAAACACACAGCTGCTAAGCCAACAGTTAGACACCCTCCCTTTCTTGCAGTTCACAGACTATTCTTTTCTGAAGATGCCAGTTCTACCCATTGTAGTTTCTTGTGCCTTTTGTATTGCTGGGTGGGTGAAAGTAAAATCTTTTATAAAAACTTCCTTCTTTCTAGATTGACAATACATTTTAAACTGTGCTTGCCCCACCTGCAGATGAAAGTTGGAATAACTGGTCCTCTGACCCAGCTTTACCATAACTAAATAAAGGTCACCTATCAGCATTACCCACCACTGTCTTCACTTTCTGTGCTATTATATATTGCCTGAGATACAACCACAGTTCTGCCATGGTGGGACCTAAATTGTTGGCCTAATGACTGATTATTCTTCAGCCTTGGACAATTAGTTCCAATGCCTGGACTCACACTGAAAAAAAGTCTTCATTCTTGTGTATTGCTTTCACACTACAGCAACAAAAAACCAGTATTGCTCAGCAATGTTTTATCAAGTGTTACGTACAGGGGAAAAAAAAAGACATAGATTACCTTAAGCTACAGACTAATGCTGTCCAGTTTCATTACACTACCCTTTCTTTACCCTCACAGTCTTGAGCATCAAGATCTTGAATTCTTGCCCAACAAAAGCAGTTGCTCCAACCAGTAGGAATTTCCTGAACAGACTCACCCTAACTTTGAGCTATACAGAAAATACAGCATTTCCACTATATTTTAGGCTTTTGCCGTTCATAGGCAGGAAGCCATATTCTGGATAACTAGAACTGGAAAAATGCAACACTAATAAAAATGTAGCTTTCCAAAAAAAAACCAAACAAACCCACCCCACCCCACCCCAAAGTTTACTGGGTGCTGACTAACTTCAGGCTGCTAAATACAGTGATAAAACCATAAAACCTAGCTAACAGGGGGACTTATCTCCCCAAACTTGATCCTAATAACAACCAAGTTTCTACTTTGAGATAGCCACCTACGCTGTCTTCACAGTTAGAGACTAACAAACAATTCTTTGGTTGCGACCTTTAAGAGAAACTTTCTCCTTCTGAAAATGTCTAATATAGTCAGGCTGAATCTCCTTCTGGAGACAGTTCCCTGTCTCCAAACAGAGGAAGCCTAGGTAATTAATTTTAAAAAGCTAGAAGTTAGGCACTAGTCTAAAAGAGTCTTGCCATAAGGATGTAATTCTTAGGTGGGCTTCCATGCTAAGGTTAAGTATTTGACCACAGACATCCTTATAAGACTGGACTAAGAAAAATAATCTCTAACACCATTATTAACTAACATCCAAGAACCCAGCAATATCATCCTAGCTATTGAAAATTCCGAAAACTGGAAGTAAAATGGATTTCAGACTTTTAAACATATAAACCTTCTGCTCCACCAGAGAAAAAGAGAAAGAAAAAAGATCCAAATTAATTTCTTTTAACAGCAGTCTTCCTTATTTACTTACTAAAAAATCTTGGACAGCCCAGCTTGGCAGTTAATTGTCATGCTTAAAGATATTTATGTAGGAAAAGTGTAATTAGAAGGTTTCCCCTGCCATCAGTTTTTCAATAGAATACTTACATAGTACAAATACTTAACGTTCAGACTAACGAAAAGGTTTATTGCTTAATAGTCAATTTATTAAATTTATTTTTCACAACATTCAGCCTTTAAGAATTTCTTATTGACAGAAATAAAGCCCTAAATAATTATTTTATATATGAGCTACACTTAGCCTAACTGGAAGGAGAGAAAGAAAAAAGTAAGTATCCCAAATTCTTTGCAGCTCCTAAATCATAGAAGAAGAAAAAAAAATCTAATCACTTCCTCCAGTGTGGGTAATGTGAGGGTAATGAAGAAGAATCAGAGAACATAACCCTAACTTCTGAAGAGCTATCAGATTCATGGAAGGAGACAGACTAAGCCAGGGGATTTCAGAAAATGCAGAGGATCCATTTTCTTGCATCAAGGAAGTATCACTTACATTTAAACCATTCCTAACATATTCCTCTAATCTAGTCTTTAAAATGATGGCTTTCAATGCAATCTCTGACAGTAAAAAATAAGCTTTAGAATAGGTTTGGGGTTTTTTTTTTCATTTTAACCTAAATTCCTCTTGCTTCAACTGACAACTACTGCCACTTTCTTTGCAGCAACTTCTTACATATCAGAAGAGTCTTAACGTTTTCTCCACAACCTTATCTAAACTAAATCCCATTTATTTAAATTTCTTCTCAAATATATCACTTTCTACATCTCAAGTTTTTCTTATTACAGACCCTTTCCTAGTAATTCACACTTTAGTGAGTTCCCCCTCACACAGTTCTGTAACTTCCCTTCAATCCCACCACCTGTGCTGCCACTGCCATACTCATTCTCCCTGGAGAGACCAACACATGAATTCTGTAGCTAAAAGTACTGACTACACTACTGTCTTCCTTTTGGAAGTGCTGGAACAGAAGGTGTTGGATACACTGGCAGCTCCACTCTTCTACCCTTGTCTTAATATTTTTTTAGTGATAACATTCAAGTAGCTCAGAGGTTCCCTGCAAGTAGAAATGCCAAATGAAGAGCCATGAACATGCCTTCTTTTTCCTTTCTCAAAAATTCTGACTGCGTCACATTATAGGATGCAGAACCAAAACAACTAAACTCCATGCATATGAATTTGATGCACTGAAATTCAGGAAAACGCCCACTCAGAGACAAAAATACAAAGTGCAGTATCTTTTGAAAGCAAATGTTACTCATTGAAAATTAGAAGTTTCGTTACTCTACAAATGTATCAAAATAGTTATTACTAGACTTTCTAATGAGACATTTCAGAAGAGAAAGCCAAGAAATCCTCATTCAGTTACATTCAAGCCAGCCATAAATCCATACGTATGACAAGCAAGTAGCAGGAGTTTACAGAATATACCACATTTGTATTACCATTTTGAGTATTAGGAGTGACACAGATCATAAAAGTCTGCAAGTGCATCTCTAACAATTTTTATATATCCAGCTGAGGCTGTCAAAATTGTTCATCAGAAGAGCCAGAAAATGCAGCAGCTTTTTATTAAAATTCTCACTCACTCTGCAGACTTTGTAAGGAACAGAGATAAGGCCAAGTCACGCAGCTAAGTAACAGCTCCTGTGTTTCCCAAATTTGGCATCCCTGAACTATGTGGTGGTTAGCTTTGCTTAACAGATAGAAGGGAGCTGTGGTCACCATCCCCATTCTGAGCAGCCACTCTACAACTACAGCATGATGGCTGAAGAAAACTTACAAGAGACTGAGCAGAACTGAAGAGGATCCCTGAAGTGCAGAGGAAGAAAGAACTCTAGGCTTGCATTTTCAGTTTTATTCCTTTCAAACAGCAAAGAGATCAGCTACTGATAGACTATAAGTATTTCTTAAATCAATGAGAACTATGAACATTTGCAACATTTCCAGGCCAAAATGTTACAGCTTTTTGTTTGTACAGCAAAACCAGAAGCTATTATGATGAGTGCAAAGAGATTCTGTATGAACAAAAAGCACAGAGCTCAAAGCAGAAATCTTACACATAGGGAAGTCCAGCTAAAAAAAGGGAAATGTCTTGCTCAAAGCATAGCAGACAAGCAGGAAAAGAATCCAGACTTCCCACCTTCCAGGGCAATGCACCAAAATCCCTTTGTAAGGTACTTCTACTTTCCAGACAGAAAGAAATCAAGAAGTAAATGAATAAATGGTGAAAAACTGTATCAGGTAATTTTTCTTTTAGGCATCTGTAGTGCTTCAAAGGTGTTCTCATCTATCAGTTTCAAAATAAATACCTTTTAGCTGTCTCTCTAAGTCACAAAATAACATGAATACCACTCACTATGGCATTTATTGCTATAAATACAAGATACTCACCGGTCTTTTACTATGATGTCACCACAGGATTGACAGTAAAAGACGTAAGTCTTCAGGGGTTTTGGGCTTTCCCTCAAAGTAAAAACCAAATCTGTAGACAGAAAAAGTCATATTAATCTTCAAAATTGTGTAAAGTTTTCAATCACTTGTACAGAAAAATCCTGCCAAATACCTCAAACCAAAAAAGATAAAAATCTGACAAACAAGGCAAAATGCTGACATTTTAAACACCACCTTAATTTATTTACCTGTAGAAGCAAGTACTTAGATTTAGGAAAAATTTGCCGTCTCCATCTCATGTCCCATATTGCTGAGTTTCACATTTTCAGGCAGTTCAGATACCAGCCACTGTTTCACCACTCAAAGAATAGATAGTGAGCAATACCCTCTGCAGGCCAGCAAAGCAAAAATGGTCTCACAAAAGCCAGCTTAGACAACTTTTCCAAATTAAAAAAGGAGCTTTAAAAGCCTCCACAAATTACCAAATAACATTAGGTGGAAAAAAAGAAGAACTGTAAGCATAGCTCTATCTGCAAATATGTTTTGCATTGCCCATTTCCTCAAACTTAAGAATCAAAGTATATTCTCAGCACGGGCATTCAGTAATTAAGATTTAGGTTGCAACCACAAATGAAAAGTACTTTAAAAGGTTCCAGAATGTCATATAAGAGACAACTAGTTTTGCATACTAATATAAAACATTAAAGGCTAACTAAGGTTATCCAATATATACGTCGATTACCCTCTGGTTCACATACATGTTTTTCACTGGTACGACTTTCAACGGCAAATTTTTAAAACTTCATCTTTGGTCTTTTGAAGCATGCCTTGTTAATAAGACACACTAAATAATTTTTGTATAGCTGAATTTCCAAAGCGCATGCATAATTACAGATTAACGTACAGAAGCAACTTCAGTATAACATAAAATCAACAGAGTATTCCAGTGTGTTTCTGGTGCTGAAACCATTATTGTACGTCACATACCTTATTGGTCATTTCTACTTTTAAAACCACAGAATGACAATTTTGTGTTATTTAATATATCTTTCTGTGTCACATCCTATTAAATGAATCTAAACATATTGAGCTTGGATGCTAGAATGAAACAAAGCACCAGCTATGCTACCATGCTTCCTATTTATACAATCACATCCTAGACCTGAATTAGCACCATGGAAATAAAGAAGGTAACTTTGCAGATGTTAACCTGCAACAGTAACCTCTGCAAACTGAGGCTGTGAGAACAAGCCTCAGCACAAAATGACAATCCTTTATGATTAAGCGGTCAGTGATGACCTTAGTGTGATAGCCTGGATGAATCGTAGAATCACAGAATCGTTTAGGTTGGAAAAGACCTTTAAGATCCTCCAGTCCAACCATTAACCTAACACTACCAAGTCCACCACTAAACCAATTAAGGGTAGAGTAGTAATTTCATGTTTCCTGGCTTGGTGGCTGGATTATAAAAAGCTTAAGTGGAAAAGAACACCTTAAGTGGGAAAGAACACCTGCCAGCCTTCAGATAATGCTGAAATATACTACTGCATTTTCAGCTACCAAACACGAAATAGGAGGGAAAAGAAAGGAATTTTGAAGTAATATGGGAAAGCACGGGGGAGGAACTGAGGGCAGTTCTCAAATTCCTACTTACACTTTAAGTTACAAAACACTCAGCAACCGTGTTTCCCTTCAGTTACGCCACTTTTGGCACTTTGGATTTTTAAACCCGCCAATTTCATTAACTTTATTAACTCTTCAACTCAGAGCTGAAGAGAGCCTTTCAGGAAAAGCAACCGCAACACGCGCAACGCAAACCACGCACCCCAGTTGGGCTCGGGTCGTAGTTTGGTCTGGGGTTTGGTTTTTGGTTTAGTTTGGGTTTTTTTGTGCTGCACAATCTACACTCTAAAGCCTCCGCTCGCACGTCGCTTA